GAGAGAGAGAGAGAGAGAGAGAGAGAGAGAGAGAGAGAGAGAGGAGGTTATTCACCTGCCAAGTCAGGCTAGCACCCACCAAGACAAGGAAGAGATGTGATCTGCCTCCTGCAATGACCTCTCCTGATTCCTCTGCCTAGCACCTGTGTCAGGTCAGAGGGGACCTAGAAGCAGAACTTGAACTCAGACCTCAGTGGTCTCCAGCACACACACCCCCCGCCCCGGGAGAGGCTGTGGCAATGGGGAAACAGTCTCGGTGTTCCATCTGGGAAGCTGCTGCTCAGGGTTTGTGTGCATCATGTGGCTCCTGACCACAGGAGTTCAGAGAAATGAAGTTAGTTCACAGTGGTTGAAGCATTGCACAGAGCTCCACATAAGCCTGTTTTGCAATAAGAAGTAGACACAGGTTGCAAGGGCACCTTCAACACCCCTCTAAAAGCTGCGTTTGAGGAGCTCCATGGTTTTGTCCAAATGCCAAATGGTTCCTAAGTAAAACACAAAGTCTCCAGCTCCCTTAATCGTTGTCAGAGAAATGTAGAGGAATAAATACTGTTTTGTTTTGTTTTGTTTTTTAAATTAGAGGCAAGCCTGGTTTGGGGCCAAACCACTCCACAGAATATCACAGCCAAAGGGAAAGCAGACCTTAAGATCTCCCACAGGGCTCAGTGCCAGAACCTGACGGAAACCCTGGCTGTGTGGGACACAGGGGCACAGGACATGGAGACCAAAGGCTTGTTGGTTCGACCTGTGCCAAATCTGTACCCCGGGGGCTTTGGGCTTCCAACCTTCAGCTCCAGTTCCAGACCCATCGGAATCTAATTTTGTGCCTTGAGGACCGACTTGGCTTTTTTAAAAAGGTGTTTCTCAGGTGATTCTTCTTCTATACCTTGGTAACAAGGCTCTAAATAGATGTATCTGGTTCAAACAAGATAGACGTCAGAGCTAGGGTTGGGGTGTTGGTCAGGGGTAGACTGCTTGCCTAGCCTGTGCAAAGTCCTGGGTTCCATCCCCAGCATAGCAGTAAGTAAATAAGAAAATAAAATCAGAACCAAAGGACTGGGCAGAATCTGAGCCGAAGAGCTCACACTTCTTTTACCAGCTCTTCAAAGCCAAGGTTCTACCCAGGGCTCACTTTCTTCACTCGTAATAGAGATAACTTGGGCCGGAGAGATGGCTCAGTAGTTAAGAGCACTATTGGTTCTTGCAAAAGACCCGGGTTTGAATCGCAGCACCTACATGGAAGCTAACAACCATTTGTAATTCCAGTTCCAGGGGATCTGACGCCTTCTTCATGGGCACTGCATGACATGGGTGCACTTACATGCAGGCAAAACACTCATATACATAAAATAAAAATAAATCATTATTTAACTAATTATTTTAAGGAAAAAAATAAGAGAACTTAGTTTTGGTCTTGGCTTGCTCTGAGACATGTTTGGAATCATTTCAAAAGCAGAAAATGGTGAGAGACTGGGGTGGGGGCATCACAGGGGTGGGGGGAGATCATAGGGGTGGGGAGAGATCATAGGGGTGGGGGAACAATAATAAGTAATAAGACGGCGAGGGTGGCAGGAATCAGAATGCACCACATTTACATCCAGTTGTCTGAAGAAAAATTCAGTTTAAAAAGGAAAAAAGTATAGTGGGGCATGGTGGCACACACCTTTAATCTCACTACTAGGGAGGCAGAGGCAGGTGGATCTCTGTGAGTTCAAGGTCGGCCTGGTCTACATAGTGAGTTCCAGGAGAGCTGGGGCTACAGGGAGACCCTGTCTCATAAAGACCAAAAGAAACAAAGGAAAGAAGTGGTGAGATGACCATTTATGTACTTATTTATTTATTTTTGAGACAGAATCTCCCTGCAGTCCCAGCTGATCTTGAACTCACTATGTCGACCAGATTGGCCTCAATCTTAAAATCCACCTGCTTCTGGCTCTCAAATGCTAGGATCAAGGGTGTGTGCCACCATGCCCAGCTTATTTACTTATTTTTTAAATATTTTATTTATTAATGTGTATGAATGTTATGCCTCAATAACAGACAATCAGAGAAGAACTAAACTGTGTTAGGGAAAGAGGAATTTACTGTTTGTTTGAATATACTGCTTGTCTGAATTTACTGCTTGAACTTACTTGTTTAAATTTACTGCTTGTAACCAACACCAACTGCACTGAGCATCTAACGTGGAGGCAGTGAGACCATGCTGGGTGATTTCATTTGGTTCTCAGTTTCTTTCTCAAAAATAACATCAGTGATTATCTTGGTTTTATAGATGGGAAAAGGAAGACTCAGAGGCTAGGCAAGTAAACTCCCATGCTACACCCAGGTATGTTACTAAGGGGTTTTTACACAAGTTATGGGAGTAAAGCCTGCTTTTGGCTCGTGGTCTCAGAGGGCTCAACCCATGGTCAGCTGGCTCTGTAAGTTACAGGCCTGCAGCAGGCAGAAAGAGGACAGAAAGCCATGGAGGGGAAAAGCTTCTCACCTAATGACAGCCAGCAAGCTGAGGGAGGGGACAAATGGGGACAGGGTCAAGTTACACCCTTCCACAGCCTTCTCCCAGGGATCTGCTTCCTCCAGCAAGCCCCCCCACCAATCCACCACCTCCCAATACATCATCAAATCACGACTCCATCATCATGATGCAAGCCACCAATGAAGACAGAGCCTTCACCATCCATCACTCCTCTGAATAGTGCTGTACTGTGCCTTTGACCTGTGAGCCTTTTGGGTCAACACTTGACAGCCAAATAAAGAGCAGGAGCAGCTGAAACCAGGACCCACATCTGTGCTGTTTCTGCCAAGCTCGGCTGCCTTTCCTCGTCCTTCTCAGGCTCCTCGGGAAGAGAGCTTTCTTGTTCTGTTTATTTTCCTTGAGACAGTGTCTCACATGCAGCCCAGGCTGGTCTAGAACTCAGTGTAGAGCTCAAGCTGGCCTCAAACTTGTGGCCATCCTCCTGCCTTCACCTTCTGGTACTGGGTGTGAGTTACCACGCTCAACTAGAGAGAAGCTTTAAAGAAGTCGCACCCAGCACACATTCCTGCTTGAGTTGCTGTGATCCAAGCAGTTAGCTCAAGGGAGACTTGAGGCACTAACAAGTCTGTCCTACTCTGGGTTTTCAAGAGACTGAAGTTGTTTATCTACTGATTTGCTACAGTCAAGGCATAGAGTGAGGGCATGAAGCTGGGCCAGCAAAGGGCATTGGGAGACACTGAAACTGATTTATTTTTTCACCACATTTCTTTGGACTAGCTCTGTGGCTGCCATGGTGTTGTGTGACTGGTCATTTAGCACCTATTGTTCACCCAGGGCTCCAGGGGCCACATGCCAAAGCCCCAGGACCCGAGAAAGTCACCCACAAGACAGGAACAGCACTGGCATCTGACAACCTGGCTTCTAATCATCCAGACCAGTGACCTTGGACAAGTTATTTGAACGTCAGGGCTTGCTTTTGTTTTCATTTATAAAGTACAGCAAGTAGTATCTACTTCCAAGTCTTATTGTAAAAGATAAATATTAGGGATATTAAGAACCCAGCACTGGAGCTGAGGTCAGTGGTAGAGCAATTGCCTAGAGAGTTCCTAGAGCATTCAAGAGCCTGTGTTCCATTCCTCGGTACTAAAAATAAAGCAAACAGAACCCAGGGGCTAGCAAGGTGGTTCAGTGGGCCGGAGGGCATGCTGTGTAACCATGAGGACCTGAGTTTAGATCCCAGCACCCATGTAAAAGGCTGGGCAGGAACCTATAACTCCAGTGCTGGGGGTCAGACACAGGAAGATCACTGGGGCTTGCTGGCCTGGCCACCAGCCTCGCTTCACGCTCAGTGACAGACCCTGTCTCAAAAATAAGGTGGAACGTGATAAAACACCTGACATCCTCCTCTGGCTTCTGCACACACGTGTACAGGTGAGTGCACCCACACAACGCGTGTGAATGTACCACACACACACAATAACCCAGCATGTGGAATACAGCATGTAAAGTACTGTGCTCTCCAGCAGCCGCTCCAAGGCAAGTCCTCTCTCCACTTGTCCCTGAAATGTGGGAAGGAAGGGAGGGACGCC